CATGGCAGCAGCCCTGAAGGTAACTTCTTTCTTTCTTTCTGAGCAGCTTAGCTCTTCTTGGTTGGCAGGAAGGGGGGCCTTCTCTGATTTGGTAATAAGCACAAAGTACTAGAGGATTTCTCAGATGCTCCAGTCATTTCTGTTTCTATTAGCCATGCTGCACAAAAAAAGAGAGATTTTTGTTGATACTGTTTTTCAAGAGCCAAATGGCATTCTGGTATTTGTTCTCCAGTGTTAGATACCCAGTTTGAAAAGAAAGTTTTACTGTAATTGTTTACAAATGAAAATCTATTCTTCCTTCAGAAATAGCTCATAGCCTGTTTGAGCCAGTGAACCCCTTTGGGATTTAATTCTCATGGCAGCCATAGGGAAATTTACTCAATTTACTTAATCCTCTCTGTCATTCAAGATTACCTTATATTTGTGTGTGTGTGTGTGTGAATTTTTCCAAACAAAGCACTACACTGTAATCATTCCCTAATTTTATTTCCTGGGACCTGGAGGCATTCCTTCACAAAAAGTTGAAGCTCATGCTGGCATTTTTCATAGCAGTGTGCTTAGTTATCCATATCTATTAATAGAATCTGGGGAAAACACAGTGGGGAATAAGAAATATGTACAAAGGATCTGAGTTTTAATCCACTTTGGTCTTATCAGGATCATTGATTCTAATTAACCTGATATCAGTGATTTATTTTGTAGAATGCTTTGTATATTATGTTTGATTGGTGTGGAAGACAGATCGGCTTACAAAGAGGAACTCAAAAAGATAAAAAATAATGTAGTCCAAATTACTTGCACTAGTTGGTAGAATAAATTTGACTGCCGGATTGGAATAGAGATTCTTATGCAAATCTGTGCCATTCCCTTGCCTGGTTTTCCCTTTACAGTTGGTGAGAAAACTTTCACAAAACAGCTTGGTCTAGCTGCTTATAGGTTAGTCTAGGAGGATTTAAACTACTATGATTCAATACCTCTTTGGAAATTGGAGTGTAAGGCTGTGTTTTATTAATTCAGGTTTTATTCTGTGCTCTTAATCATTCTGTTACCAGCCAAAGATGGAAACTGTACTCCTGATTATCTTGTCTCTTTTTAATAGTTTCGGCTATTTGTATCTTTCCCTTCAGGCATATAAGGACTCCAGCTCTGCACCGGCAGTTCATTTTCTTTTGACTATCTTCAGAGAGCTCACATCACTGTATAGATGCAGAGACCCAAATGCTCACCCTAAGCAGAAGGTGAATTCGTTTTCATTGTGATCTGCAAATAAGGGCTATTTTAGATGGAAAGGTCCTGCTAATCATAGAAACGACTGGGCTGAACTAAATATAGGTCGGTTGTGCGTAAAACCAAGTGTTCTGTGTTTTCTCCTCAGGAAACTCACAGCAGCAGCTTTGAGCTCAGATCATTTCATGGTCAGACATTTTGCACATCCCGAATGGGTTGTGGTTTCTCTCAGCTGTTTCCATTTGGAAAATGTGTGACAAGGTTGTACCTGTAAACCAGACCTGAGCATTTTAAGGCCCATGGGTCACATCTGGCCTGTGGGCAGTCCCAGTCCAGCCTGTGGTGGTGGCATCGATGGCAGGGGGCAGGTGGCAGGGTGGCAGGGGGCAGGGGAGTGGTGGCCTTCCACAACAGTCTCAGTTTCTCATGTGGCTCCTTGGGACAATTAATTGCCCGCCCCTGCTATAAACTAGATAGGATTTCCATATGCCTGTTTTCTGTATTGCTATTTGTGTTTTATGTTAGTGGATTCATACCTGTCCTGAGGTCTCTTAGTATTACTATATTGTAATTTTCCTAGAATCACTAAAGCAGGCAGCAAGCAACTGCTGGTAACAAAGTGCAATAATATTAAATGAATGAGTGTGTAAATAAGTAAATAATTAATCATTGTTATGTCACAGATTAAGTCTTTTGAACCTGTGGGAAAATCTTATTTACCTTTTTTTCCTCCTTTACTCAGCAATGTGATATACTTAAAGAATTCATCCAGAACGCCAGGGTTCTTCCATCTGCAGAACTGAAGGCATTTGCTGAATCTCTTGTGTCTAATCAGCTCCCCTTGCTGACCCTGCCCCCTCTGTCTTTCGGCCACAACACGATGGTGATTGAAATGGCAATTCATACTGCAGTTGTTTTGTTTTGTGGCCAGAATCAAATCCTTCAACCTCTAAGGAATCTGGCATTCTCACCTAATATCATGCTGGTAAGGAAGTTCATGCTGGACTTCTGTTAGTTTTTTTAACTTAAAGTCCTTTAAAAAGAATGCATCCTGCCTCTTTGTTAAGTTGAATATTCAGTAAGATTAACAACTACTATAATATGTAATGCAGATTTTAAAAAAATACAGAAATGAACAATGCTCAAATTAATGTGCAAGATATCAAGGCCTAGAGAAAGCAGTTCTAGAGGCAGAGAGAGTGGATATCAAACCCTCCATAACTTGGGAATGTTCTGTGGCAAGAGTCTCTCTTACATATTTTAACAACTGGATGGATCCATCATGGGAGAGGCTGTCCTTCAGAGAACCACACTGTAGGCCATTTAAAGCAGTGTTTCTTAATCTCAGTGACTTTAAGATGGATGGACTTCGACTTCTGGTTCCGGTACATGGCGACGCCGATTGTGTCTGGGGACTCGTCTCCAGTCCGGCCAAGTTTTCTGTGTCGGTAGACCCCCAAGGGGGTCGAAAGTTGCCCTGGAGGGGCAACCACCGAGAAGGAGGCTTGCTGGTGACTGCGAGAGAGCGGCAGCTTCTCCCATGGCTCCAGCTATTTCCTTAGATCCGACGGAGAAACGATCATCCTGCAAGATGGCCAATTATCCTGCTGCACCAGCCGAAGTCACAATTACAGCTAAGCGATATTAGACCCATCGCGGGGGATCCGAGTGAGACCCTTTTTGCCCCTCTCTTTCCCCGTCTTGGTTCTTTTTGCTTGTAAAAACTTGGATAGAATTATTTCCCCGTTTAGAAAAAGCAGCTTTTGTATGTGTGGGAAGAAAGGCGTTGAGAAAAAAAATATTTAAAGACTACACTCTATTTTCAGTCATTTTGGGATACATAAAAAAACACTTTTTTGAATTGTATTAGTAGCTAATATTGGAGGATTACTTCTTTCACCACTCTTTCCTTTAAAAGAGAGAAAAAAGGAAAAAAATGGTGTCTGGAAAGGATTTTTTATTTACTGAGGACATCTAGTGGTGAAAAGTCAATTCTTTGGATAGAAACCTGACCTTCAGACTATTTCTGGAAAAGATAAGCTGGTGCAGCTGTGGGAACTGAGAGGGTGGACACTGTTTAATTACAGCCCTCATTAAAATAATAATAATAATAATAATAATAATAATAATAATAATAATAATAATAATAATAAGAAGAAGAAGAAGAAGAAGAAGAAGAAGAAGAAGAAGAAGAAGAAGAAGAAGAAGAAGAAGAAGAAGAAGAAAGGACTCTCTTTGATTATTTTTAAAATGGAGAAACCCTACTCTCACTTAAATTGTAAAGTTATATTGGAAAAGATCTATGAGGTTTCTGAAGAAATATGTGCTATAAGGAAAGAGATAACTATAGAACGAAGAGTCAACTTTACCCCAAACTTTCAAACTGACTTTCAGACTACAACTGTTTATTCTACAAATCAAAACATACCAGAAGAGGAATTAAGGGAAATTAAAGAGGACTTTGCTACAATGAAAGAGATTACCACAGAACTGAGAACCAGAGATTCTTTTTTAAATCTTAAAAGTGAATTTCAGACTACACCTGACTATTTTACAAACCAAAATACACTAAAAGATGACTTTATTGAGGATACAGAGGAACTTATTTCACCCTACAAGCATCTTACCTATATTTTTGAGGATCAGAAAAAGCAAAGACTGAGATTTGAACCTTTAAAGCAGGGCTTTTCAACCAGTGGTACGGGTACCACCTGTGGTACATTGGCACCTGGCAGGTGGTACGTGACCATCCTAGAAAAGTAGCGGAGGAGAGGAATGAGCTGAACTGGTGGCAGCACCGCACAAGCTTGAGCGAGAGATGGCTGGAGCTGCAAGGCTGTCAGGGCTCAGCGGAAGCGCCAGGATCAGCACCAGGCTCCAGCTGGAGCTCGGCGCTGATCCTGGTGCTTCTGCTGAGCCCAGAAGAAGCGCTGATCAGCTGGAATGTTGCAGCATCTCCAGGGTCTTGTGATTTACATTCAGATGCTTGGCAACTGATTCATATTTATGACGGTCACAGTGTCCCAGGGTCATGTGAAGTGACCAAAACCTGCTGCAACCACCCAGCAGACGGAAAATAAAAACCAAACACCCCCCACCCCACCCCTGCTGCCAATCCTCAACAGAAATGCTCACAACAATGAAAACCTTGGACAGGAGGAAGAGCGCCACTGGGTGGGCAGGCAGGTGTCTTGCTCGGCTGTGGCTTGGGGGGCACTTTTTTCAGTGCCATTGTAACTTCGAACAGTCACTAATGAACTGTTGTAAGTCGAGGACTACCTGTACTTTATCACTTTTTTCCTTTTTTTTTTTTTTTTGGTCAAGTTTTTGACACCTTGCTAAGCGATTAGTGGTACTTGGATATTGCCATATCCTAAAAGTGGTACAATGGGTGAAAAGGTTGAAAAGCCCTGCTTTAAAGCAGCGAGGCTTCAAGAACAAGAGAAATGGAGCTCCAATGCAGAGGACAAGAAGCTTATTACTGCCGCAAGTGGCATCACAAGCAACAAAGAGAGACCTATCAGATGAAAGGGAAGCGTTGTTGTGGAAACCTGTTTGGCAGGAAAAAAGGCCTAGAATAAGACTGAAAAGAGAAATTTAAAATTATATATATTAGATATAAGGCATTTTAGAACTATGGATTGATTTAAGGATTAAGTTCTTGAGTAGAAATAAGAAAAATGGGTGATTATTAGAATATATATATATTAAAGTAAGAATGTATATTTTGGATTAATAGGTTTATTTGCATGAAAATTATTATATAATGGAATGAAGAAAAATGAAGAGATGTTCTAGATTGGGATTTGAACTAATAATTAATTGAATATGATTCTAATAAGATGATGTGTTTTGTTTGATAATATGGATATTATTAGGTTTGACAATTAATTGGATGAAATTATAACCTTGTTTAAGGGACTCAAATGTTTTAAGGTTGATATTATTTTGTTGCTAGAAATCAATTGATGGATTAGATATGTATAGGATAGATTAATATTTTATCTTAACTAGGAGATATTGGTGGAAGAAGGAATAAATAAGATTTATGATGAAATCAAAGAATTAGGATATATTTGGAAGGGATACCTGAACTGACAATGTGTGTATTTACAGTTAAATTTGATTATGGTCTTGTAATTGCATAAAGCTCTAAAACAGGTTTAGGATTAATAGAAATTTAAGTTACAAATAGACTATTTTAAATATATAAGCTATTTGAGGGAAATAGAGAGGGAATATTTGATGTACTGATTGAGTTACTTATATATGTTTTGTTTTTGGATTTTTGATTGCCCCAGCACCATGGTGTGTCTCGAGCACTTTGTATTAAGAACTAAAAAAACCAATAAAATTTGTTTTTTTTAAAAAAAAAGATGGGTGGACTTCAACTGGCTGGAAAATTCTGGGAATTTAAATCCACCCATCTTAAAGTCACCAGGATTGAGAAACACTGATCTAAAGCATTAAATATAAACACCAACTGTTTAAATTATGTTCGGGAAACATTTGGTATAGGTACAATGGAAGTGCAGAATCTTTTACTGGTTAATAAATTGTATAACATGCCAGTTAAACCTTTCAGACATTCTTCAGAGGTAATGCTGGGCAATAAGAGTAGCACTTAGACGTATATACCACTTCATAGTGCTTTACAACCCTCTCTAGGTGGTTTACAGAGTCAGCCTATTGCCCCCAACAATCTGGGTCCTCGTTTTACTGACCTCGGAAGGATGGAAAGCTGAGTCAACCTTGAGCCGATCTGGATTGAACCTCTGGCAATGAGCAGAATTAGCCTGCAATACTACATTCTAACCACTGCGCCATCATGGCTCAAACAAACTAGCTTATTTCCTAGCTTCCCTTTCTGTTTATTTATACCTTTACAATTTCGAGATAATTCTCAGTGTTTACTGCAATGTATTGGGTTAGTCCAGTGGTTCTCAACCTGTGGGTCGGGACCCCATTTGGGGTCGATCGACCATTTCACGGGGGTCACCAAGCAAGGCTGTCCACCATTTTTTTTGTCCGCCATTTTTTTTTCTGCCATTTTTTTCCCCCTTTTCCGGCGGGTGCCTTACCTCCCTTGGGCTGGGCCAGCTGGTGGTCGGCCTGCTCCGTCTCTGCCGCTTGCCAGCTACGCCTCGGCCGGCGCAGGGGGCGGAACCACGCATGCGTGGCGCTCCCGGGCAGGGAAAGTCCTCGACTTACGACCGGTTGGGTAGTCCTCAACTTACGTCCGGTTTAGTCCTCAACTTACGACCGGTTTAGTCCTCGACGTACGACCGGATGGGGTCGCGGCATTAAAAAGGTTGAGAACCACTGGGTTAGTCATTAATAGTTGTTATGATCTGTTGTTGTGTATGTTTGAAAAGAGTCTCCAACTGTCATGGAGCAAACAGCCTGCAATTTAAGCAGGAAATTGTTCTTTAAAATGATTGGTCGCTGCCTAGTGGTGGCATTGTATAAATAGATGTCAAGTGGTTGTCGGAGCCACTTCTGTGTTTTCAGCAATAAAGAATAGTTGTATTACATCGGTTTGGTCTATGCCTCAGCGGATTCAGTATACAACATTTACTTTTTAATTATATGAGAAAATGACTTTGGAGCAGTTAAATCAGTCAGAAATAATCACTGTTTATTATTTAATATCATGATTCAATTTTTCATCTGTTCTTTTACCAGAATGCTTTTCTGCCAACCATGCCAGAAGACATGTTGGCTCAAGCTGTGCAGTGGAAGTTAAAGGAAGTAGTTCATTGGTATAGTGAGTATCAACCTTTGGAGTATATGATGGGAAAGTCATAACAGACATATCCAGACTATAGATCTGAATAAACTTGGCTACAACCAGGAACCTATTTTCATAAAGTCATAGGGATATTTTGGTGATGCTCCTCAAATGATTAGTCTTGTGACCTACATGATGATATTTAAGAAAATGTCGTTGGACTATAAGAATATAGATCTGGGGTGAAGGAGGCAGGGGTGGGTGTGGAGGGGTGGAGGAGAGAACTATTGACAAAATCATAGCCATGAAGAGAATGGCTAGTCATAAAAGACCATTTCATAGAAGGGCAAGCTAAAGCATGTAAAATGAAAATTAAACCTGAATGCAAGATAAAAGTGTCATTGAGTTCCAAAACACAAACCTGCTCTGTTGAAACCAACTGTTCTCTTTTCACACTCAATCCTTATCTCCATCACAAATGTCTCTATGTAGGATTGCCCTCTCCCTTACACCCTTCCTTTTTATGAATATATATACAAGGCAGCCTTTTCCTTTCTTCTGCACCAACTAGCATTACCAAGTCTAGCTGTGGTTTCTAGCTTCTTTATGAACCAAGGAGAGATTTATACACAATTACAAGAGGTTAAGAGATTGGCATTTTGTAGAGGAAATGAAGGTGTAAATTCAATGGTGCCCATATTGTTCTACCTGCCAATTTAAACCATTTGCGGTGAGATCAGGGGTGTCAATTTGTGATAGTTTAAAGAAGCTCACATACTTACAATTTACAGAAATGCCCTAATGGTGACATGCAAGAAGAAAATAAAAGCGTCACTATTTTCTGATCATACATCATGCCATGTAACAGATACAGTGATCTGCAAAATTGCACAATCCATTTCTGAAAGCAGCCAGCAAAATTTATTTTTAAAAGGAGTTTTCATCAGACAATACAATAGAATTGGATGTTAAAGTGTGGTTTGGCTCAGATGCAGTGTTATGGTTCCGGCTAATGAAACACTTCAAAGAACTTCCAGGCATTGAATTTCCTAAAAGTAATTTATTGTTACAAAATGTCAGCACAGGCACAACGAGTTGATGCTAAGGTCTAAAATTCTCTTCCTCTGAGCAATTAATTTACCAGCATGTTCCCTACCTAAATTTGCTGTCATATATCATGTTCTCCTATCAAGTGGAAGGGCAGAGGTTCTCTTCCAGTCTCTTCCCTCCCGCAGTCCTATCTTTCTCCTCCCCCCACCATCAACTGAATTAACTCTAAAAATACCAGACAGTTCTGCATATTTTGTCAAAGCAAGAATATACAGTATTTGCAGCATTGACATCCAGTTTTAGTTGGAGAAAAGTAGAAAAAAAAACTTGGAAAGATAATACATTTAGTCTTGCTGCTATATTGATGTACAAAACCTTTTCAGTTGCACTTGGTTTCTACAGCACAGGTGTATACATTTTCCCTTGAATAATTCTCCCATTATTTTCTAAGAAATAAATGCTAATGCAGCTTTCATATTTACTTCTGTTTCAAATGATATTGCTGTTCTGGAAGATTCAAAAATCAAACTCTTCAATGTTTATTTAAGTTCTATAATGCTTGTCTCACCTAAGAGACTGTGGTTCATAATAAAACAATAATAAACACACACGAATAAAAGCATAGATGAAAAAGACTCAAGTACAAAGATAAAAGGTACAAGTTAAAAGTAAAAACCAAAATTAAAAAAATAATCTTGAGGATTTCACAGGCAATCTTTCTGGTATTTAGTTAAGGAAAATATGACATGTTATTTCCACGTTGAATGTCTTTTTTTCCCTTTGTTTTATCTATTTTTTACAATGTCATTAGCTTTTTGAAGTTAGATTATAATGATGAATCCTGAGAATAATTTAGAATTCTTGGCAGCATTGTACTGATTTACTTTTTGCTTTTCTTTATTCAACTAGTATGTCCAAATGGTCACCCCTGTGTTATTGGAGAGGTAAGAAATGGAGAGAGGGAGGGAGGGATATATATATATTGACAAGTTATAAAGCTAAAAATTTGACTCTTGGGTAAATCCATGATAAAACCAATAAATATCGATCACCAAGAGGAAAGTAATAAATAGTAAAAAATTTAATGAGACGAGCTTTCGTTGGGCCCACCCAACATCATCAGGGCTTTAAAAGAGGGAAAGGGATTCCCGGTCTACGAATGAGGATGGCTCCTGTGGCTGGGGGGAGGAAGGGATCGTTATGGCATCTGTGAGAGGAGACGAAGGTATGAGCAGAGATCTTGGGAGTTGCTCCCCTTATCAGATGGGGGTGGTGTCTGGGGATAGGGGCAAGGAGGGGACGGCACACTTGGATCACGTTTGTAAGGGACGGAGGAATTTAGCAGTGAGATCAAAGAAGAACTGCACCCCCCCAGAGTATAGTGCCACACACAGAATTCACTCCACCCCTGAAGTTAACGAGGAGAACACTTACGGTAAAATACGGAGGAGGTATGGAAAAACATCATGCGTTGATGTAAGTAATGCATCTAGGATACAACACGAACAGCTGGGTCCGGTGACACGTTTCAGAAGCCGGATGCAGGCTGTTAACATCTTATAAAAGCTCTTTCCCAGTGACTACTTTTAAAGCCCTGATGATGTTGGGTGGGCCCAATGAAAGCTCGGCTCATTAAATTTTTTACTATTTATTACTTTCCTCTTGGTGATTGATATTTATTGGTTTTATCATATATATATATATGTATATATTTCCTCAATATTATATATTTCTTAAGGCAACATTTTCTCAGCCAATTAAGTCAATATTATTACCTTGATTAACAATTTAGAAGTGATATTCTAAGCACATAGTAATTGGACTAATAGTAATTGGACTAAAATGAAACAGTGAAGAACTATTTTTGTTCTCTTTTTGATATTTGCTTTTTTTTTCAGTGTGGTCAACCTATGCAACATAGTCGTTGTGTTGATTGTGGTGTTCAAATTGGAGGTGTAAACCACAGGCCAGTGCCAAACTTCCAAAGAGCAAGGTTTGAATTTTAATTTCTTGGAATTCTGAGAGAAAATTTTATTTATAAATGCCGATGAAAAAAATGAGGCATTTACTGATCTTTTGGGTATACAAGTAGTTTCCCTGCCTGGCAAATTAGTTTGAATATCAACTGTGGACTCCTAATGTCAGTTTTCATTCTGAGTAGCTCTAGCTAATTTTGATCTTACTATGCCCACTCTCCTAGTCTCTTTGGTCTGAGGTCAGTTCATCAGTATTTATAACGTGATGAACCTAGCATGCAAAGGGATAGATATAAATGCAACCTTGAGTTCTTGGTGCTCTCTGAGCTTGGTTGTTGTCTTGCAGATGTTTCAGTACTCAAACTAGGTAACATCTGCAAGAAACATCTACAAGAAACATCTGCAAGACAACAACCAAGTTCAGAGAGCACCAAGGACCCCTCATTTCAACCCTGATCTATAAATATGGAAGAGTTTTGAGTTCAAAAAGGAGAGTGTTTCTATTGCTAGGCAAAGTTCACAAGGAAGTCAGTGGTTGTCAAACAAGCTAAAATTTCTGAGATTTCATAGAAAAGGTTTTCATATACTAAGAGCCAATTACAACAGTTTCAAGTATGAGTCTATAACTGTTAGTTGTCATCAAGAGATCTTCCAGATGGTGGAAGATTCTCACACATAGGCTGAGAGAGAACCCTTTTAGAATCTTAGAGAATCTAAGCTCCAAAGCTTGGGGATTTGATGAGATTCCCACCCTTTGTTGTTTGTTTATGATTGCCACAGTCATAACACATTCATTCTCTGAGAACTTTGTCAGTCCTTTTGAAATTATTTACTGTATTTTGTGTCCTGCGTTAGATTCTTGTAAAAGCACCACAACAAGCTTGTCGCAATTGCTCCACCTATTTGTGAGCCCCATTTGGGAGCAGTAATTAAGAATTGCAGACCCTAAGGCAGCTGTAGCCTTTTCACCTACATTCCTCTTCTGGGCCAATAATTTCTCTGGCGTCTTCACATCTTCTCTCAAGCATCTCCAGCTCCAAGGTTTTGCCACATTGCTGCCAGCACTTGGAAATCACTAGAAAAATTAAACCTTTTTGAAAGGTCTGGCCCATTTTTCCCATTCAGAGCAAAAATCAGGTGGCAGTTCTGGCAATGTACATCTTCTTCTTGAACTCTTCTCACTAGTTTCTTTCTCAAGAGGAACATGTTGCCTTGTGTACCCCCAAAATCGGATGCTTTCAATCCAGGTAGAGTTTCATTCCCTATTGACGCTTCACCTGATACTCTATCCTGCTTCTGTTCTTGGGGAAACCTCACCATCTTGTAAGTCCAGTCAGCATTCTTGTGGAGAGCTACTGCATAAGATATAGGAAAAGGTACTTTTATTTTCTGAATTCTTCATTGTTTGAAATCCAATAGTCTCTTATCTGGATAGTTTGGAGTGTTCTCTTAAGGCTTTTCCCGTTGTTATAAAAATGATGAAGGGCATGCAGGACTGAGTTGTGGTCTCATACCATTTGTATGAATACGTACTAAATCTGATCCCTCTGGATGCTATCAGAATTATTTCTCCTGTAGTAGGTATCCATTCTCGTAACAAAATATATTTATTCTACTTGAGTACTTATTGCATTATTGTTCCCCATCTTATTTTCTTCTTCTGTAACACCCTTTACCTTTCAATTTTTTCCCTTATGGAAAAATGGTTACCCTGTGTTTTGTTGGCTTGCTTTTACTTCTCTAATTCCAAAGTCTAATTCCAAAAGGGGAGGGGAAATCTTTTCTTTTCCTGCCAATTGAAAAACCCAAAGTCAGCATAAAGCCATAATCTAGTAATACGTTTGGGGCAGCTTAGGCATTCTGAGGCAAGTTCCCCTACAATTGGCATCAAAACTATCTGTTTAAACAGTTCTGAAAGTTTTAAAATTACAACAACAAAGAATACCATAGATGGCTGTTAAGGTACAAAAAAATGAGACTTAAGAATAGGTAGGTGCATCCAAGGTATTGAGTTTCTTTTGTTTCCTCTTTCTCCTGAAATTTCTCTGTATCAGTCCATTCTATTCCCTCGTGACCCATCCCATCCCTGAACAAAACGAACAGAATATTTGTTTAAGATGCTTGCTAGGATTACTTCAGCAATCATATAATGTATTTAATTTGGTTTGCAACAGTTCCTTAGAGAAAGTAAATACTGCTAGAATGGAACGGAACGGAATAATAACTTTATTGTCACTTTGAATGTACACTAATCAGCATACATTAAAATGAAATTTCATTGCATACAACTCTCAAAGGGTCACCTCCTTTAATATACACTACATAAATATGACAAAAATAAATACAGAATTATGCATATACCCACATACATTATATCACATAGAGAAACAACAGTCTTTCTGTGTATTACATAATATAAAGATGGTCCTCACTTAGAACCACAATTGGGCCCAAAGTTCTTGTTGTTAAGCAAGACAGTTAAGTGAGTTTTGCCCCATTTTACAACTTTTCTTGTTGCAGTTGTTAAGTGATTCATTAGAATTGTTAAGCTAGTAACAAAGTTGTTCAGTGAATTTGGCATCCCATTATAAATATAAACCAGTTGCCAAGCATCCTAATTTTGATAATGTAATCAGTGGTGGAATTCAAATACCTGAACATCGGGTTCTCTGCATGGATGCAGACTTGGGCCTCCGAGGCCGGGAATGGACTTCTGGAAGTGATATCCATGCACTTCCTGTGGGCTGTTCTAGGCCTGGGAGGCCTCCACCTGGCCTAGAACGGACTTCCAGAAGTGACATCCACGCACTTCCGGTGGGCCCTTCTAGGCCTGGGAGACCTCCTCTAGGCCTCTGAGGCCTAGAACGGACTTCCAGAAGCAGCATGGGTTCAGCCGGTCCTCCGAACTCAACAAAATCTAGCTACCGGTTCTACTGAACCTGTGCGAACTGGCTGAATCCCACCACTGAATGTAACCCTGGGGATGCTGTAATGGTCGTAAGTATGAAAAATGGTCATAAGTCACTTTTTTCAGTGCTGTTGTAACTTCAAACAATCACTAAATGAATGGTGGTAAGTTGAGGACTACCTATATCTACCCAATTTTGGATGATAAATACTTTTTTATAATTCTCATCTGGAAATCATTGCAAAAAAATAGGAAAATGTGCAAATTTCCCTGTGTGATATTTTTGCAGCAATATTCAGGACAGGACACAAACGGGCCACATACTTGGAGATCCTAGGAAAAGGGATCCAGTGATCACACCAGAGAGGGAGTTGTCTCCAGCTGCACTAATTCTGATTCGCTTGCTCACTCATTTGGCATTGCTTCTGGGAGCCTCAAATGATGCCCAGGTATTTGTTGTGCACAAAAATTGCAACTTACCTGCTTTTTTCTGAAATGCAGTATACACAAACAGACAATGACTTATCTAAAATGGAATTACTTAAAAAAATCAGGTTTTCTCAGTATTATGAAAAGAAATAATTATAGATGCTAAGAATACAAGGCCATAATAGTAGCTATATTATAAAAATATAGTACTAATTAGAAAATAACAATTTCATTAAAGCAGCATAACTACAATTCTGTGTTTAATGATCATGGAGCATAAGATGCCCTTGGTCCTGCCACTGTTCCATGCATACTTCAAAGTTGCCAGGAAGCAAAATGGAGACCATGATCTTCTAGAGCAGAGTTTTTCAAACTTGATAACTTTAAGATGTGTACACCCATCCAGCATGCTTAAAGCTGCCAAGTTTGAAAATCACTACTCTGGATGAAGTCTTATAGTTTCCTTTCCCTCAGATACTTGACTTCACTTCTTTCACACCCATCCTGCTTTCAAAAGTGGCCTGCATAAGTCCACCTTACACTAGAATTAGCTGCAAATGTGATTTGCTTAATCAAATCTGTAGTTGGCTATTCTCTGTAGTTAGGAGCTGTAGTTAGCTATTCTCTGACTTGCATTCTTGGCAAAAAGTATGCAACCTGAAATGTCTGGGGTCTTTTTGTTTTTGATGTGAGTGTTCATTGCCCATAGAGAAATATTATTGATATTTTTAATAATACATTGAAAATAATTTGCATTTCAGAACTCAATGAAAAATGTAATCATGTAGCTGTTCAAAATAATGTTTTTCACTCAATTCTAAAATACAGATTACTTTAGTTTCAATGTGTTACCAAAAATATCAGTAATGGTTTTATGGGCAATGAGCACTAGCATCAAAAACAAAAAAAAAACCCAGGCATCTCAGGTTGCACACTCTTTGCGAAGAATGCAAGTCAGAGAACCAAGATGTTGGACTGGCACCTGGAAAACTCAAGCTTAAATCTTTCTTCAGCCATAGAATTTGCTGGGTTGTTACTACAGGAAAAATGGAAGGACGGAGCCCTGTCTTATACCAGTTTGAGCTGTTTCTGGAAAGATAGAAATCTTAACAAATCAATAGATTGACAGAGTAGTGCTTGATTGTGGTAGCAGAAAATTAAAGTCAAGAGAATTGTGGGCTCCCCTTATATAATAGTGTTGTATTCATTTATTTGTAAGTTAAAGGGATATATTTAAAATATTTGCTTAAGTACCTACCTTTGTCATTAAATGTTCATTCACAAGTCATGTAGAGA